CATAACTTGCCCTGCTACTGCAGCGCCTGGGAGGATATCCTGTCCTGCTGCTGGACAGATGTGCTGGAGGGGGCTTCCTGGAGCCCCGGCACACTGAAGGCAGAGCAGGATTTTGGCGTATCTGCGGGCTGTAAGTCTGTCTTAAAACTGAGGTGCACATCCTTTATCATGGAAAGTTATGCACATTGAGGTGCATAACATTAAACTTAGGTGAATTAATCGACATCCTCTAGTCCTGGCTAGCTATGGAAAGTTCACTTTTGGAAATGCCTGGATGTCGGTGCGTCGTGTTGAATACGGGATCTGAGTGGTCAGTCGTCTGCCTTCTGTAGAGTTGTGTCTGCTCACACACACCCTGTGAGTTTGTCACAACTCGTTAAGTTTGTTTAGATGTTCCCACAGAACCTGAGTTCTGCTTGTGTGGCAATTAGCTACAATGTCGGCATCCCAGAGATGGGGAGTTGTGCTGGTGAGGCGGTAGCGTCTCATGCAACCCAAGCCTGGATGTCCTTGCGAAGAGGAAGGCGTTCTTGCAGCAGGCTGCAGGTGAAAGCTCAGTTAGTAGCAGGGATGCACTTGGGTGATGTGTTAGGACTGCAGATAGCCTTGCTGTGAAGGCGATCGGAATACAATGAGGAAAAAGGCATGGAAGGTGTTCATGTTGCCTCTGGTGGCCTTTAGTGCTGCACTGGTGAGCTTAAATGACTTCCTTACACTCTGAAAGGTTTCTGCTGTATGACTCCCTCTTTTTTTCTCTTTTTTGGTCATCTATGTTTAAAAAAAACATAAGCAGCAGGGGAAAATACCACAAAATTGTCATTGCTAACTTTGAGGGACCTTTGAAGGAAACTAACAGCAGTTTATGATGACTCTGCCTGTCAACGATGTTGTCAGGAAAACAAGTAACTCTAAGCAACAAGGAGATATCTTCACTGAATAAAGAGCATCTGAACAGGTTTTTATGGCCATGCTTTACTTGAGGGATATCCCAGTTTTTCCAAGCAGGTGCATGTGAAATGGAGCAGAAAGCCACTGAACAGGGTTTGGCATGCTATACTTGTGTGCTCTGCTTTCCCTATCTGTTCACTGCTGGACACACAAATGTTTGGACACTGCTTAGGAATCTTCACATGGATAGAGCCGTATGCTGTCAACTTTTATGTGACTATCAATTGCTTTGTAGCTCAAGTCTGAAAGGATGTCATCATTAAATATTTAACTGTTTGCACTCTTAAAACAAGGAGGTAGTGGTCAGATCTGAACTCGTCATGCCTGTTAGGCTTTCTGAAAACGTATGGGTCTTCCTTTGTTTTTCACTATGTGATCAGATGTGGAAATGAGAGATCCATGCTTAGCAGATGGATCTGTCAATTCTCACAGGTCAATGATCAAATGAACGTGGAGCTCAAATGGTTCCAACATCACTGAGGTCTGGAGTTGCACCTACTTACATTAGTGGTGGAATTGTCCCTAAATTCTTAGCAGATCAGGTAGTTGATGCATTGGTCTTGGTGCACCGTGTGGCAGGGCAATATATAGTATGACACAGAGCGAAGCATTGCTGTCTCTGTAGCAATGATGATTTATAGTGGGAAGTGCAGCTTCATTTCATGAAATGTAATTTGCTTGGCTCAAAACATCAAGGGGCGGGTTTTAAATTGTCGAGCCCAAAGTGCCTTACTACCTCTTACAATATGTGCCTGCACCTCTCTCCTTTCTGCTTTCCCTATAAATGATCAAGAATGTGTCTTCTTTGGGAAGTTTCATCCATACCTCCTCCTCTATTGTCTGGATTTTAGGCATACGCCCTGTTGGGTGTAAATCCAGCAAAGATTGAATCCCTCTGGAGCAGAAACATCCTAGATTAGAACACAGGTTCCAAGTCTATAATGCTAAAGCCGCAACATAGCACCACATTTATTAGATAGTCCTCACTTTTTATGAAGGAAAATGTTAGAGGAACTCATAACAAATGCAAGCTGAAAATCATTAATTTTTCCCATGTGGAAGCACTCGCTGTTCTTGGCTAAAAATCTGACGCTCTGTAGGTGAAATTATTTGGGTTTCTTACATGCTGCGGGAACATTTTCCCCCCTCTCCTCTGTAAGGTGAAACGCCACAGAAACTGTGAGATCCGAAAGTGTCACAGGCCTTTTCTAAAAGAGTTAGGGTCTGTGGCTGGCCCCTATCAGGAGAAATTATTCTGTTGCATGCTGGAATATTTATGCAGACCTTGCTGGAGGATTTTATCACGCCATGCCATGCTCCAAAGGAGGCCAAAACAAGGAAGCGCATGCAGGATTTTATCAGCATTCCTGAACTGCCTGAGCCAGTCTAAAACTTAAGTGTGGTTTAAGCTTATCCCACATTAGCTATGAAATTGGGAGCAATAGCAATGTTACTAGCAAGTCCACTAGGCTGGAAAATTGTGGGGGTTTTTCCTTCTTCTTTTTTTTAAATCAAAAACTGTTTACTCTCACTTCAGTTTCTTGGGGAGGGGGAGGAAAAAGCTGTATCAATTTTAAATTTATTTTTTTTTCTTTTCTGAAACGTAGGTCTACAGCATCAGGACAAGAGCAAGGAAACTTCTTGGTTCTGAAGTTCAGATAAATTAAGACCAGCTAGAGCTGGAGTCAGCGCAGCTGGGTGGGCGATATAACAGTCGTTGACTCCTTCTGCATGGAGCAAAGGACACACATGAAGATGAAGAGCCAACCATTCTGGTTTTGCTATTGAGCCTTTTGTTTGTAAGGCTGTTTATGTGTCCCACAGTGTTGGAAAAAAACAAAAACCTAACATTTCTTTCTTTCTTCATCTGAGCCTGCTGCAGCTGGGCAACCTAACTCCTTTCTGCTCCTTTAACAGTGTTTTGTTTTGTTCAGCTTGATATTTTTATGAACAGTCTCAATTGTCAGGAAAAAGACTCTCCCTTTATTACAGTGCGCCTCCTTTCAGGAATACAGTATTTTGTAGCTCTTTGTGCATCTATTTTTGTAGAAATACAGAAAGTTTGAGTAAGGATTGATGGGCTATTTTAGGATGACATATTTTTTTAAAAAAAATTGTAAAATTGTTAAGTTCTGTTTAAAGAACTTGCTCTCAGAGAAGCACTGGCAAAAAAAATGTATAAAATGCTATTTTTAGATGTCTGTGATGCGTTTGTGCATTTTGGTTTTTTGTTTGTTACCTCAAATGTCTATCTTTCCTTTCTTTTTAAAGAGCTAAACCTTCCTTGTTTCCCCATTACTAGATTGTGATGTTTTTGTCCTTTTGTTCTAGCTTAAGCAAGTATAATTCGCACCTGAAGTTTCAGTGAAATATTTTTTCCTAGTGTTGTGGTAGGGGTGGTTTTATTTTCTTGCTTCTAAAGGTGTTTTTGTGCTGTGCTGATTGTCAGAGACTCGCGAACACCTTTAGTATGGAGCAAAGCTTAGGGTTACAGGAACTGCATTTCCAACCCATCCATTCTTTCAAAATGGACCAAATACTCTTACGGATTTAAATCAGACATGAATTTGGGTCTCATCTATGATCCGTTGAAGCTGTTGAACACAGTACCCTATGGGTTATGTTTCAGGCCCTCATGGTACTCATAAATATCACTATACTCGTATTTTAACTCATGAGGCAGGACTTTCAACTAAGCCATATCAAGGGTGTTAATTTATAACATCAGCATTTGGGAAAGAAATGTCAGTTTTATTAAAACATGTGACTTGTGGAAGCAAAATGTTTTCAACTGGCCTGATCTACCTGCTGAGCAGCTCAAGGAGAGTACTGAAATTTTCGACTCCTGTTGACTTCAAAATGTATTTGTCTAACCTAAGATTTGCTGTGGGCCTTACAAAGACCCCAGCTGCAGCTCTTGAAATTCGTATGAAGTTGCAGGTACTCAGCGTGCATGAATTCAGGCTTGGCTGCTGTCTAGGTAAGAATCTGAACTTGGAAATCACACGGCCGTGTCTAGCCACAGTGCTATGGAAGATGTTTGGGAAACCCCATTTCTGTCCTGGGCCTTGGGTCTGACTTGCACAGTAAGGACTTCAGTTGACGCCAAGGTGAGCACTATCCAATCCTGAATAAGGGCTGCAAGAGCACCCTTGACAGCCCCAGTCCTGGGATGGGCTGGAGCTGGGTCAGCCCCCATGCCCAGCCCTTAGTGACTCCAGCGAGTGTCAGCATGTGCTTAGGTGGGACTGAGCACAGGATTGTGGCCTGGGTTGCCAGATCCTAGCTATTGCTTGGAGATGTTGCCATTCTGCTCTGTGCACCCAACGTCCCTCTGTAATATCTTGTAAGGCTCTTATAACCTATTATATTTGTGTTACCACGGTTTTGCAACATGCCTGTCTGAAAGACAAACCAGCTAAATGGAAAGCAAGACACAAACACGTGGCCGAGATAAGAAACAGTTTAATTTTAAGGCAATGAGCTTTGTAAGTGTAGGTTTGTCAGGTGGAGGCCACATGGACCTGCATGTGAAAGGGGAGGGGGAGTGTTGGATTGTGCATGCGACTCCGAAGTTCAGGCCTCCCTCCCTGCGCTGCTGTCTTTCTAGGCTTTTTGAACGTGATCCTACAAGGTGTTGAGCGTTCTCCCTTGCCATGTGAGAGGGCTTGACATGCTGGCATTGGAGGCATTAGGATTATATCACAATTTGGCAAGACCCTAAAGTGTGTACCTTGCTGATTTGAAGTTTGAGACAGTGTAAAAGTGCTGAGTGGACTATGCTTAAATATTACTTTAAAATAGTAGGGTTGTAGTTTCTGTGTTGGGATGCTGAATTAAATGGGGTTGGGGGGGTGGTTTCCTCAGCTTTATAGTCCATCAGCATTTCTTTCTCAGTAAAGTTCACTCTTGTGAAATTTCTATATATTACCACTGCTCTGGCGGAGCTAGCTCCTCAATTTGTCAATGAATTTGTAATGCAATGGGAAAACTGTATGGGAGGGAACATGGTAATAGCTGCCACGTTTCACTTTATGAGCACAGGATAGTTCAGGAAATATTTCAAGAATAAGAGTTCTGACTTCAGATTTCCTGTCAGAAAATAATACAAGCTTTTTAAATTTTTATTTTATATTTCTTTGGAATTGGCAAAGAGGCAACGTATCCTCTTTGAACTTCAGACCTGGAGAGTTTGGGTGGCAGGGGGAGCAAAAGAAAAGGCAACATTGCTTTTTGAGGTGTAATGTGTTTGACTTCCTGAAATAGTTCAAAGTCTAGGAAGAGCAGTCAGATCGTTGCCTTCCTCTTCGCAAGTTCAGATGATGAGGGACCTCATTCTGTTTCCTATAGATGTTAAAGAAGAATGGGACAGGAAAAAACAGGCCCACAGTTTGCACTGGACTCCCTTTCTGGATTGTTTTATAGAGTTGATGGGTACTGGGGATGAATGTGGTGAAGCTATTGCCTCTTCCACCTGAAGGACTACTGTTTTGTGCCCAGTTTCCACTGCTGA